CAACATCATAAAACCTACGACCAGAGCCATGAACATACCGGGCACGATCATGAATCAGGCGCCCTGGATCATGAAGACCCCGGGCAGCACTTCAGATTGTAACCTAAACTATGTATCTACCGGCCACGAGCATATGTTTTCCGGTCCTAAGCATGAATTTGTCGAGCTAAACATGAATATACCGGGCTAGTCCCACGCGCACAGTCCCTAAAACGTCTACAACGGTGAAAATCATGCATCACAACAGGAAAACGAAGAAGATAAATCACTTACTTGCAATCAAGGAGTGAGTTCTGCAACGAAGGGAAGGAATCTGTGACGAGAATCGCAACTATGCTATGAAAATCTAGAAGAACAGCAACAGTAGGAGCGCAAAGAGTAGTAACGCGTTATGGGGCCCAAGGATCCTATTTATAGTGATGACGTGGAATACCAAACGTCACCTCGGGCAACCACAAAGTTCCTCTCCTCGATGCATGGCTCCCAAGGCAATGATGACCCTGTCATCATAGGGTGGCGGCACAGTTCCCGAAAGATACCCCGTGCGCTCGACAGATGCGCGCCTGTGAGGATCCCCCGAGCATCCACCACGAAAGATTTGTCTCCGAGCACGACACGGAGAGGCCCTCGAGGACCTGCATTTCTGACCCGGGCGCGAGACCCCGAAACGGAAACGACCTGAGATCAAGCCATGGCTCCTAACCAAGGAACCACGACTTGGGGGGCTCCTGTTCTGGACTGGGCCCGACAGGCCCAATAGCATTGATAAGGCCCAATCCAAATGGACTTGTTGAGGACCACGCCGACCAAAGGGACACAGTCGTGCCCGACGTGCTCCCTGAGGTTACTTGCTCGACCTCAAACTGTCCAGCTCGACATCCTGCCGTCCAGCTCGACATCACCGCGAGCACCCCAACTAGGGCAGACTCATTCCACTGCACTCCCAACGAGACCCCGAAAAGACCGCGTCTCTGTCCGCCCGCACTTCACGCCGAACATCCAGGGAGGGGACCACGTGCGGGTCCCCACTACGCATGTAGAACCTGGCAGTTCCTCCATTGGGCCAAACCTGCCCGGCCCAATGAAGGAACCTTGGCCCAACGCTGGGGGCTATAAATACCCTCTGTTTCCAGAGGGTCAGGTATTCATCATTCTACCCATACTCTTACAATTTCCTGCTCGTGCTCTTACTTACTTCAGCATCGGAGTGTCTTGCAGGTACCCCCCCACCTCGTTCAAAACTTTCAGCTCGGAGCCAGCCGTGACGGTCCAAGTCTGATCAGGTTAGATCACTTACCTTTTATTATTTCTTACTATGCATTATTTTTTACTATGCATTATTTTTTACTATATATTATTTTTAGGGTTGAGTCTGCACATTGGAAGTTAAAGCAGATGTTGGAGAATAGTTTAGGTAACATGGTTAAATATTGGGAAGCTATGAATAAAAATTTGAAGCTTCAAATAGGAAACATTCGAGCATCTTTTCAAAAATGTTTTAATGAGGTTTGGCACACACACGTAAGTCTATTTTATGGTAATTTGTGTGGTTTTGTATCTCGAGCTGCTTTGAGACGCATTGCTGAAGAGTTATTAAGGGTTGATTATGTTGGAACTAACGGAAAAACATGTGGTTATACTCATAGAACATCTTATGGGTTACCTTGTGCTTGTGAGTTAGGAAGATACACACTTGGTGGTATACCGATACTAATAGACAATGTTCATGTTTAATGGAGGAAACTAAGTATGGAAAGTGAGTTGTAGGTAGATGTAGATGATGAATCAGAGGCGAATATAAGTAGGGGAATGGATGAATTGTGGAGAAGGTTTAAATCACCAGATGTTGTTTGGAAACGAGCATTAAAAAGTAGAGTTTGTGAACTTGCTTACCCCATAACGACTTCATTGTGTCCACCACCTGAAAAAATAAAATCCAAATGAGGAGTGAATAAGAAAAGGGCCGCACCAATTAGATATGATGTTTATAGGGATCCCTCATGTCATGAGTATGTTGATTAAGAATCTCAATCTTCACAGAGGAAATCTCAACCATCACAAATGTCAAAGAATTTAAAATTAAAGAAGAAGTCACAATCAAAGAAGTAGTCACAATCAAAGAAGCAGAAAATGTTGCATTCGTTCACTCTTCAATTTCCTAATCATATTAGGCCATATATTGAAGATGTAATTAATGTTGAAAAAATGGTAATTATGGATTTAGAGTCATTGCATCATTGTATGGATATTTTGAAGATGGTTGGCCAATGGTTCATTGAGACATAGACATGGAAATAAGAGACCAAAGAAGATTGAGTTTGTAACGATGAAGCAAGATGGAAACACGAGCTCAACTAGGATCAGATGGTCCTGCTTCATACTCAGTAACTGGGACCTCTCTTGGAGCATCCTGAGGGGAAGAAGCCAACCGAGGATGTGATACACGATAATACCAATTCAAATATTCTATATTAGTCTCAGATGGAAAGGTGACTAGTCTGACGGGTCACCTCAATGACACTATGATGGTAACTAATCCAGTCAACATCAATATCAACATCAATAAGATCAAGAGGTGAGGGAGGGATGTATTGTCTGTATCGAACCTGACATATACATCTATCAGGCAAGTAGGGAACAATATTGTCACCCCACTTTAGGCCCCCCTGTACAGGCATGTCTCGTCCAACTGACGCCATGCTATATGATCCTCGAATCAGCGCCATATGACATCTACATGTGTCAACACATCCAAAATATGTCACAACTCATCCACCTTCAGGGCCCCTTGCTTGTACGACCATCTCATAGCTCTGAGAAGTACAAGATTATCACATGGTTTCCAATTTTCTCCTCTTCTTCCAAGTGTTGGAAAATACTCATGAATTCAGCACTGTTCCAAAATTAATATTGTTAATTAACAAATTTAATAAAAAAACTATAGACTAAACTAATCAATAAACTAAATTAAAGTAAACTACATTTAATACATACCTGGAGTAGAGTAGGATATATCTAGCAAGTTGTTTGCAATCGAACATGGATACATCTCCAAGAGCACTATAGAGGGTAACCAAAGCAGCAGCTTCCCAACTATAACCCTGAAGGTTATCCAAGTCTCTGAATAACAACAAATATCATGTCTCAACAAGCGTAAACGTCTTGTCCGCAAATATAGTGCAACCAACTAACATCAGCATATATGCTCTGGTATCATATGCCTAACTAGAAGCAGCTCGATGCTCTACAAATAAATGATATAACCACTCCAGCTTATAATAAGCACCCATGCATCTTCGTACATGTTCTGCTGTAACACTCGATGACACTCATAAGTAGTCAATAGCAAGATGAACAACATCTTGTTCTATGACATGTTCGGGGCTCCAGAAGTTGTCCTGATGGACAGGTGAAACAGACAAGCTACGTCATCCAGAGAAATTGTCATCTCACCATGTGAAATGAAGATGTCTCTAGATGCCATCTCTTTACAACGAGGATACCAGGTTCGGGTCTATCTTTGAAAAACTGGTTCTCTAAAGCGAAGTTAGACCAGAGTTAGACATCCATCTCTCTATCTCTCATGGGAAATCATGTGGAACCCAACCCTGAAGATTTAGCCCATGTCCTGCAACTTTAAAAACTTTCTTCGGACCTCTCTCCTAAAAACAAAAATAAACATATTATTAAACACATATAAAAATTAACAATTTGTTCAACTTAAAATAGTCATTTACTTACCTCACCGAACCATATATGTCGAGCACAATGCTGCTCATACCTAACCAGAAGAGACATATTGCACGACCTTCCAAGAAAGCCAGCAGGCTGTGGAGCGGATGCATATGCACCAACATGCTCTTCCTCTCCTGACACAATGTGTGGAACGCTTCATCCTACCCTACGAGAAAACCTATTGTCTCTGTCTAATTTTCGCATTCTGAAAATAACAGATATTAAGCCAGAAAAAAATAAAAATAAAAAAATAAACCAAAACACATTCTGAAAGTGTTTCGGCGTGTAAAAATGCGAATAAAACCGGAAGAGTTTATGAAAGTGTTACAGTGTGTCACAATAAAAATTGGAATAGTTTTTAAAAGTGTTCAGGCTAATACAACAAAATCGGAACAGTTTTCAAAAGTGTTTTAGTGTGTCGCAATCAAAATTAAAATAATTTTCAAAAGTATTCTGGTGCATTAAATAAAACCAGAAGATTTAGAGTGTTACGGTATGTGAATTTGTTAATCGAAAGAGTATGTAAAAGTGTTTCGTAATATATTCCTTCTAAGAGAGTTTCGGAAAAGTTTTTTAGCGTTAAAATGGAAAGTCAATTTTTTTTTTAATTTTACTAATATATGAAAGACATTTTTTTGTCCAAAATTTTTAAATGTTGAGGTGGAAATACAATTGTAGGAGTATTAGTTAAAATTTTTGAAAAAAAATAAACCTTAAAAATGCACGAGACCTTTTCTACTCGGATGATACATGTTGACAACGTATGGCCGTCGAGTATCCACCGTGTGACTGCGGTGGCACCTACACGTTTGTGTACAGGCAGCCCTGCCATTTGCCATTAACGGCTTCGCCAACTATATAAAATAAAATAACTGAGTCACGATCCATTTGACCTGTATTCTAGAATGTCTTCTCTCTCTCCAACTAATTTACACATGCCGTGGCATATATCCCGTTTCTGTCTTCCTCGAACAATCAGCAGCAATCATCATTCCATTTATCATCCCATTCCCACTAATTTATTTAACACGCCTTCATCAATCATTTACTATAAGTACTCCATAATACACCACCCATTCTTTCATACAATTTCGCCAACACAAATATCCTATTGTGTCCATACCACCATATACTAGTTTGTTTCGTTAATCTAATAAATACTAATTATATTAATTTGTTGTAATTGAAATTCAATCCAAACCGTTCAAATTGTATTAATTTATTCCAGTTATAAGGTCTTTTGTTGTGAAGAATATATAATTACCATGAGGAGGGACGTGATGGAATTCGAGCGTGTTCTTGGTTACTTTGACGAAGACGGCGACAGAAAGATTTCGCTGAGCGAGTTAAGGAGTAGAATGAGTAAGATTAGTGGTGAGTTTGAATTGAAAGAAGCAGAAATTGCAATTGAGTCATTGGATTCTGACGGTGATGGTTTATTGAGTTTGGAGGATTTGATAACCCTAATGGAATCAGTGAGCGAGGATGAGAAGTTGAAGGATTTGAAGGAAGCATTTGAAATGTATGATAGTGAAGGATGTGGATTCATAACACCAAAGAGTTTGAAGAGAATGTTGAATAAATTGGGAGATTCTTCAAAGTCTATTGATGAATGTAAGTTGATGATTGGGAGGTTTGATTTGAATGGGGATGGTGTGCTTAGTTTTGAAGAGTTCAGAATTATGATGGAATGAGTGTGGATGATACATTGATGAGTTTATAGCTTTTCTGGTTTTGGTATGTGGCTGATGGGTTTCATTCATTCTTTTGTACATTATTATGCCTCGTTACTTTTATGCTGTAAATAATTGTTTTTGAAAATAAGAAATGATGTTTCTACATCTAAATTCTTCTATCAACTATGCTGTTCTATTTTTTATGTTTATTTTTAAAATATGTGTATATATACAAAATAACATAGATACATAGGTATCAAATAACACAATTGCTTGTAATTTGCTTTTGTAGCCCAATAGTATGAGAACAAACACAATATCTTGGCGAAAATAGGTATCAAATTTAAGAATGTTTTATATAGAGGTGACCCAACACATATGAAAGTTCAAGGAGAATTTCAAAATAACAAAAACTACAAACAAATCTAGAGGTGGAACACCTCTAGTATTCTCATCAAGCAAGCGCACAAGAAAGTCAGGAGTTACGTCAAAATAAATGATATATGGACTAATCTCACAATCTACAGTCGTTAACACATCAGCATATTTATTTGCTTCTTTGTAAAAATGACAAATAATCACATCTTCAAAGCTATCAATTAGTCATCAAATTTGATTAATAATCGTTAAACTCTCAATCATGTTGGAGCACCTTTTATCAATAGCTTGAATTACCATGGAGGAGTCAACATTAACCTCAACTCTCCTATAGCCTAGAGAAGAAGATAACTTGAGACCTTCATATAAACGCCACAATTTCGCCATGAAAGCGTTGCAGCTGTCAAGGAACTTCACAAAACCACAAACCCATGAACCTTTGTCGTCTCTAATCACTCTCCTGCACCCCAATACCAAACCATCCTTGTAAGCTCGGTCCACATTCAATTTGATCCATTTCATTTTCGGTGGAGACCAAGCAATATCCTGCACCTTCTTCTTGATGACCACTTTGTTCATCTTCAAGGTATCAACGTACTCTATAACTCTTAGCCTAATATACGCTTGATTACTTCTCGAAAAATGTACAGATAATGTCCCTGTAATAAAAATATTGATCCGCAAGGACTGCTATTTAACACGACAAATATTGTACAAAGTAAATTAAATATAAAATGGGGGATTTTTGAATTTTAATGCAAAAAATATTAAAAGGTTGTTCTGACAATAATACCAAAGCGATTAGGTTTTGTATTGAATCCCCTATTTATTTCATATTGATGTTCGATGTATTACATGAATGATATTGTTGCTATAATTCCACAACGAATTAACAAAACCACAACAAACAATCTCTAGCCTCTATATTAAAGGTTACTTGCAGAACCGACTACAAGAGTCTTAGACTTAGTGTTAAGTTTTGACGTGATTTTGATATTTGAAAAGGGTTGACTGAGACGTAACATAATAAACAAAATAAAGACAATTGTAGGATAGAGACAAGAAATATGAAACAATAACTTTAAAACTTAAAAGATGTAAATTGTTTTGAATTAAAATTGGACACATGCATACATTTTTTGGAAGTGACTCATTTCTCTCGGACGTTGGTACTTTGAGTGTTTCCCTTACAATGTTGCAAAACGTGACCTCTAAAATGAATCTAAAAACTTTCTTAGATAGATAAGCAAAGTAATCGTTCGACCGTTACTAAAATACCATGTTCTGAGTTCGTGTGGAACTGCATTTGAAACCTCACACGTTCTGTTTACAACCGTCAATAGTAATTGCGTCTTTGTCAATCGCTTCTGCTTTCGATCGCTTGTCGATATACTCAAACCTCAACATCCAATTTTTACTAAGTCCCTAAAGTATTTTTAGACAACCTGTGTCGACACCTCTTGTCCAACTATTAGTGGCGCCGACACTGCTCCTTACTTGATGATAACCTTCGACTTGTAATCCTTCTATTTAGTCCATCTATTTGTGGCGCCGACACTGCTCCTTACTTGATGATAACCTTCGACTTGTAATCCTTATATTTAGTCGAAACATTGCTAGCTAACATATACTCAATTATTTAGTTTATAGCTCACTAATTTATACTCGGAGCTTCCTATTTATACTCCACCAGCGTAAGCAAGATTAGGCGATGCAATAGTACGTTAATTCATAAGTCACTACTCGAGGTCTCCTATTCATATTCAGCCGGCGTAAGTATAACAATTATCCTAGGTCTAACACATAGACTAGTGGTCAGTATTTGCTATGTGTCCAAAATCAGATTAAAAGAGTATCTCACATAAAAACATTATGAACAAGAGGAAATTGAATAGAATTATAACTCAAATTATTCATGCAATAACAAATCAAACATATGTGCCAACAATAATTAAAATAGATTCATCATACAAAACCTAACCTAAAGAGATTTAGCTACTCATACTGAATAAATTACAATACTAAATAATAATAATAATAATAATAAGAGGTTTGCATAAGCTATCCCTTGAAAGACTGGCTTCCAACAACTTCAAATGTGCTCCAACTATGACTTTTGTTGTTGTAAATCGCTCCCTTTAGTGTAAAATCGCAGAACCCTTGAAAAAATGACAACCCCCTTTTTTAAAGCTATTGGCAGGCGTCAAAACACGTCATAAAATTTCCCATTAAAAGGCTCATCGCGTTCACGATAGGCTGCATCGCGCGCGTGATACAACATGTCCAGGACCCTCACATGCGCGTTTGGGCACGATGCTTGCATGAAAAATCTAGTAGCTAACAGAGTTCCGCCTTTTCAGTATTGCATGCGCGATGCACACACGATTTTTCCAAAGTTGAGTCGCTTTTGGTCCTTTTCAGCCATATTTTTCCCAAATCTTTATTTATTCATACTTTTCCGTTGTACTCTGTTCTCGGGATATTCTTCATGAAATTAAGTGATCTTTGCTTGATATTCTTTGTTTCTTTAGTAGAATCTATGTAATGACAGAGCGTCATCATAATCCCAAACTTAATTTGTTGCTTATCCTCTAGTAACTTGCATGCAACTACAAATTCCAAACAGAAACACAAAAATACAACAACAACAATTGAACATCCCATAATTATTTTTACCTGATCTCCATTCAAGCTTCTAAAGAATCCGGAAAAATCAGGAAACCTCCTCAACTTTTGGAAAGTACTCAACATGTCTCTCATCTCACTATCATTCGCTCAATTGACAGGGTGATCATTCAATCAACATGCAAAACTACTTATACTGAGTTTGATCACGTTTTAACAAAATTCATCACAATAATCAAAACACACACACACTTTGAGGACTTTTTCAGATGTAACGTGTCTTAGGTAGAATATTTTTTGGAAAGTAGGTTTAAACCTTTGGAGTTAAGTTCCTAGTTCTCCTATCAATATCATACCAACTCTTTTCCTTCTAACTAGTACTAGAAATTTATTCATTTGTGTTGGTCTCTTTCTTTTTCATTATTTTTCTCTTTTTTTGAAGAAGAAGTTGTTTTGACTTATTGATTTTTCACAATAATTTTTGAAAATTTTGACCAATTATCTCTAGTACCCCAACCCCAAACTTACACTTTGTTCACTTCCAAGAGAAATCTCAAACTTGTTATTTTGCCTACAGTCAGTGGAACTTTAAAAATTCTACCTAACTCTAAAGAGAGGGTGGAAAGATTTAATCTTTCAAGTCGATTGGCTACAAATATGGTTATGTCATCGAAACAAAAGGCCTAGGCTCAAGGTGGTTAGCAAATGATTTTTAATAATATACAGGTTGGTTTAAAAGGTTCAAAGTTTAAAAAAACTGCTTGTGTTATAAATCAAACTAGAAAAATAAAATAAAAAATAGAGCAAACCTGATAAAACAGTAAAGCATGAATACACTCAAAGAAAGAATTGGTGAATAGTGGAAATATTTGGCTCAAACCTTACTAGTTGAGGTATATGAAGATTGAGTACAAGCTTGTTGATTCAGTTTCTATCTTTCGCTTTCTCTTAGTAAGTCACCTTCCTGATGATCAAGCCTTTTTCTGATGGTGCTTTCGGATCATTTGCTCAATGCTACAACTGCACTTTATTTGTAAATCTAAAATAATTAACAGAAGCAAACTTGTAATTTAATTTCAAGCAAACAGAAAAATTACAAAAGGGAATTACTTATAAGTAATGATTTCTCAAAGGTAGTCTAAACTAAAATTAAAATTTACGGAAATTTAAAGTTATTCCTTGGTCTTTGTTATTCGTTGTCAAAACTGAAAGATCTTGCAATTTGCTCGCCGAGTTATGAAAGTTGTTATTTTGTCTTTCCCATTTTGCTCTCATTTGTTCTCTTCTTGTTTCTTGTGCAATGTCTTGATCCTTGAAGTACTTTTCCAAATCTTCTACAGTTTCAAACCGACATATTAATTCTCCCACATACATGTTATCTTATTATTGGTTGTAGAAGTCTTTGAATATTGGAGTAAAATGTGGTGGTTCAGCATATAAAGTAGTTGAAATTTCTTTTGGCCATTTTGTTATTCCCACTGCATATGCTTCCATTCTTATTTGAAATTCATTGTTTTGTTAATTTTCTTCCCTTGGTGCTTCCATAATATTTGGAGGATTGCTTACAACATTGTCCCCTGTTAGAGTACTTTCTTGTTTTGGTTGGGCGTCTGTAGCTCTCTACTTTTTTTGAAACCTTCTCAGTGTTGTAACATTAATTGGCTCCATGGGACTTATCACTTTGTCATCAAGTTGAGTTGGAACTCCAGCTAACATGCATAATTCATTAATAATATAAAAATGCCCATTAGCCTTGTGCGCTGAGTTACCCATATATTTAATATTTTCAGCAATTAAATATCCCACGTTAGTAGTATCTCTGTTCAACGGAGCTAACAGACCCAAACATCACTTAATAATGAATTATGATTTATTAGGAGTTTCTTCTAGAGTTTGCACAAAGAAGGAAGTACCTGCTCTAGCCACAGGATGAAAATCCTTTGTTTTAATTTGAAGTCTAAAAAGATGCCACATTTCCCATTCGGCCCCGGGTTTATAAATCATTTCAAGCATTA